GTCACACATTAATTAACAATTAAAATAAAGGAAAGGAAAAGAAAAATTTCTTCAGGTTAAGTTTAGTAATTCTTTACTTTTAAAATAATATATAATTTATTTTTTTTTTAATGTAAACTAATATTAATGCAACTTATTTTTCTTAACAAATACAGTTAGCTTTCACAGGTCGAAAAGTGAAAAATCAGGCATCAATTAGTCACCAATCAGTCACCAATCAGGTAACTGATTGGTGACTGATTGGTGACTGATTGGTAACTGATTGATGCCTGATTTTTCACTTTTCGACCTGTGTTTAATATAGTAGTTTTCTTCTTTTTTTTTTTCACAATGCATTTGATAGTTTATTAAACAAAAACAAGATTCAAAGAATACAATTATGACAAAAACTAAATCTAAACTATCTAATATTATTAACTACCAAACCACTCGTTATGCATGAAAGCACCTCACGTGTGCACTGTCGGGTGAAATTTTTGCTCAGAGGGTATGATTCGTTTTGAAATGGTCATTCTTAGCATAAATGCCCTCTTTCTTCACAAGACATTCACAGGACTCACAATAGTTTTCTTCAAATTTATTAAATTTATTATAAATAGTAATACTTAACCTCTTTTTTGCCAAAAATTTCACAACTAGTTTTATTATTAATTGAATTATATAGTAATAATTTTTAATTTTAATTATATAAAATATAGATATTATAAGGAAATTACTAATAAACATCATCTGGATTAAAGTTGTGGTCTAAATTTATTTTAGAATTTATTAAAAGTCTAAACTTTTATTAAAACAACTTTTTAAACATATCTATTACTATAATTTTAATATAGTTTTAACAGTTATTATACTTAATAATTATTCAGTATAAAGTGCCGAATAACTGTTGTATTTGCAATAAGCAATATGATTAGTGAGATTTACTAGGACACTAGATATCTAGTATAAAAGTCATAATGGACTTTTAGCCAAAAACACTCCTTTTTGCTGAAACTCAAAAAATCATTTTTTGTAAATATTTCAGCATCCAGTGATTTAATTTTAATGAACTTTTTTTATTTTATAGCCTTCATTTAGCTCTACAATTTAAAAAAAGTTCATCAAAATTGAACCACTGAATGCCAAAATATTTACAAAAAATGATTTTTTAAACTCTTAAAAAATGGGCCAATTTGTTAAAAGTGTGATTTAGGATTATTATACTTTCTCTCCCGTTGGGCTCTGCCCATTTTTTCCCAAGAAGACATGGATAAAAAATATGAGGATTTTTTGCCTTGAGTGATAGTAAAAGGACTTTTTGACATTATATGAAGTTATTACTGAGATCTTTGGTTTCGCCTGAACTCCTTATAACTTATATTGAATTAGAACCGTTATTATGAGTCTTAGAGTTACCAACAATAATGTAAGATGGCAGTTCTATACGAATGTTCTCCTGGGCTTTCTGAAAGATTAAAAAGTAGTGCGTCTTGGTTCTTACGCCTTTAAAGTTTAACTGGCCAAGTAGTTCGCAGACCAAACTGTTATTTTTTAGAAGGAGCTCTTGATCAATGTATTTCTTGC